TCCCACCACTGTCTCACTGTTCCCATCGTCCCCGCCGCTGTCCCACTGTGCTGTCCCACTGTCCCCAGTGTCCCCACCACTGTCCCACTGTCCCCACCACTCTCCCCACTGTACCACTGTCCCACCACCGTCATCACCACCGCCTTCACCACTGTCCCCACCACTACGGTCCCCACCACTGTCCCACTGTCCCCACCACTGTCCCGCTGTCCCCTCACCACTATCCCCACCACCGTCCCCACCACTGTCCGCACCACTGTCCCAGTGTCCCCACCACCACTGTCCCCATCCACCATCTTCCCCACCACTGTCCAACTGTCCCGAGGAGCGGGAATCGTTTGCCTGCGGCGAGGTCGGGGGGGGGTTCGAACCCGCAGCGACCCCCCCTGGTTTTCGAGGAGGGGGTTCGAACCGGCAGTAACCCCCCCCGTTTCATGATGGACCACGGGGGGGGGGGTGCGAACGGGTAGTGACCCCCCCCAGTCTTCGAGGGGGGGGGAAAGGTTGGGGACCCCTGGTGGCCCCCCCCAGTCTTCCGCCAGCAGCGGTAGACCACGCTCTTCCTGATCATCTTATGCTCCTCCTTCTGCCCCTCCGCCTACTTGTCCGCCTACTTGTCTTTCCCTCCTTTTTTCCCCCGTCCACCGACACCTCACTGGCACGCAGGGGTGCTCCCGCGAATCCTGAAAAAGGAGGATTGTACCAGAAGAGCAGGGAAGAGGGAGGAGAAGAGGGGAAAAAGAGGGCAGGAGGGAAGTGGGAGGAGGAAGGAGAAGGAGGAGGTGAGTAGAAGGAGAAAGGAGGGAGGGACTGCGCATTTGGACTGCTTGTTGCAGGGGCGCCCCGCCGGGCAGGTTTACCTCGTTGCAAGTGCCAACCACCCAGGAGGGCTGGATAAGGATCAGCAAGATCAATGGAGAACACTAGCTGGAGGATAAGAGCAGGAGCAGCAGGAGTGGGGAGAAGCAGGACTAACCCACCTTCAACCTCCGCCGCCATCGCCACCCCCAGATAGACTGACCTCCCCAGGGTCCAGAAGGCCACGTAGCTCATCACCCCCGCGATGATGGTGGAGGCGGTCACCTCCAGCGATCTTACTACAGAGCCAAAGAACGGGGAGCACCAAAAAACAAATGCAGACTTATTGGCGGGTGAACATACATATGTGTATATATATGTACTAGAACCACACGCGCGCTACGCGCGTTTAGGTTCAGTCACGGCACCACTGCACCACAGCGCCTCCGTCAGCACGGCCACTTAAGCCGCTGCAAGCACCGTCGTGTCTTCGATGGATACGATACGATGACGACTTCTGTTGCTGCCATCGCTATGTGTACGCATGCCGCTCCGCATGTACGTTTGGGTGCGCCTGGGGTGATAGCCCTTTCAATGCTAGGGTTGTATGTCGGAAGATTCGTGGGTGTTTGTTGAGGTCAGGACGAAGGTCTCCTGGGCTATTCTCGGAAAGCTTACAGTGCGGGGCCCGACCACAAGAAACCTTCCACAAGAAACCCAACCCTGAGACCCCAGGACGTCCATTGATGTTTGGTGTGGGAACGTCACGCTTTCCATAGCAAAGCCATCGAAACCCAAGAAACCCAGGGCACCCTGGAGGCAAGCAGGGTGTTTCTTGGCATGGGCCTCCACTGTACTGCGTCTTCGTGGTGGGGGCTCCTGGAAGTTTCTTCTCGCTGCTCGCAGCCCGCTGGTGGTCCTGGGCGGCCTCTTCGAGCTTTCGTGGCGGGCATGTGCCGGGAACTGCTCGGGTATGCGGGGGGGCTCGCTGGAGCGCAACGCCTGCAGAGGCCTCCTGGATGGGGTCGGAGTGGATGGGGGTGGAGGATCGCGCCGCATCGCCAATGCATCGCCGAAGCATCGGCGATGCATCGGCGATGCATCGGACGCATCGGAGACGTCGGCGTGGAGAAAATCTGGCTCCACAACGAGCCGCATCGCCGATGCATCCGCGATGCATCCGCGATGCGGCGCGATGCTCCGACCCCACCTACAGTCCGACCCCATCTTGGAGGCCTAGAACTTGGATGTTCTGTTGGGGATCTTCTCCCGGGCGTTTCTCTCTCTGTTCTGGCAATCCTGCGCTTCTGACATCCTTGCGTTTCCAGCCGCTCTCAAGCGGCTTTGGGCCTCCAGGCGCGTATCTCAGTGTCCCTGCGGATCTATTGAGCCTGCTTTCCTCGTGTCCGCGGCGCTATCCTGCAGTGGCAATTCGAACTGGGTTTCGGGGTAAGCTTGACATAAACGCCCCCCAAACCCACTCCTGAGGTCAATGTTTTCAACCCCAGAGGGGGGAAAGCGAACAGCCCCCGAAGCCCTCTTGCGCCAGACTGGCGGCCTGGATCGCCAGGACGCCCCCGAGAGCCCCTCCCAGGCTCCCAGCGAGGCCCCCGGGAGGCGGCCAAGAGGCCCCCAGGAGGCGGCCAAGGGGCGCCCGCAAGCTCGACGCCACGACGACGACGACGACGACGACGACGACGAC